GAGAGAGAGAGAGAAAGAGAGGAATGAATGAATATTTATTATCATACATAATGTGTGTGTGTGTGTGTGTGTGTGTGTATGTGTGTGTGTTTGTGTACAGTACGTTAAATATACTAATCCATAGTGTACATTTTTAGCATCAGTATATTTTATAATAGAAATTGCATCATTTGTTTAATAACTTATTTTATGAGAAATTTTCAATGATCAATATAGTGAAAAAATTTCATGAATTTTAGTGAAATAACTGAGATAATACTGGATGTCAACAGTATTGACATTTCTCTCTGGCAATATGTTGTATTGTATAAATATCGCTATTTATTTTTACAAACTTGTCGAGATAACGATTAGCTGTCACCGGATAAATTTTACGTTATAAATCAGCAACAGGAAAAATAGTTTTTTAATGCAACCCCTTACTGTATTGCAGCGATATGGGTCAAAATTTATTAAAGCTTCATATCTTGATCAAACAACGCTTGTGATTGTTTTGCGAAATTGAAGAAAAACTCTAGTTAGGTTTTTTTTTCGTAGATATTTTTATTCATCTCTGGATAGTAACCCGATTGGACGTTGCTGCCGCACTATAAATTCCATTGCTCGATTGCGAGAACCGCTTTTAGAGATTACGATTGATCGACGTTTCCAAAACTTAAACTTTTACGATATCGAAAAAATTCTAGGAATTTTTACGAATGCTTTATCTTTCAACTTTTCATGCGAGGAGTTTTTTTTATTGAGTAACCTAGATATTAATTTTATAAAATTCAATTAATTTTGATGTCTTGTAATATAAATTTTTATATTGAAAAAATTTATATCAAAAATTGACGATAGCAACTCTGATTTTTTTATTTAATATTATTACTGCAAATATTTTAAAATCATTGATATATAAAACTGGTGTTAGGACAAGAACGAATTATTTTTTGCACATTCTTGCAAATCCATTTTAGGGCGTTTATTTACACATGTACATATATGCGCATGTATATATATTTACAGAAAATTAATTTGTTCATGATCTTATATTACACAAAGTTCATATTATAGTTAATTGAAACGTGAATAAATACTAAATAAATATTATTTTTTAAGCATTAGAAAAAACTAATATATGTTATATAATTTATAATATATCGCGACAAATTAACTGCTGCAGTTCTATCGCTATTTCTTCCACAATATCGCAATTATATTATCCGATAGAGCAATTTTCCATCTCGAAAAGAGTACCATTGTAGATATCACCCCCAAGATCTTTTATACATTGATATCCCCCATTGATTTTAAATCTAAGTTTTGACATACTTAAACCTTTTTTTATTTCATGTTTATAGGATGTGGAAGTATCGCACCGAAATCTCCTTGGGGCAAAGTCGCTACGATGGGTTATGCCAGTCTCGGGATACCTTTGACTTTGGTCTATCTGTCTAGCGCAGGAGGTCTCCTATCAAGGTGTGCCAGAGGCGTCTTCACGCGAGCTCTTTGTTGCTGTCTTTGCTCGAATTGCGGTTACTGTTGCTATGACGAGAGACGAATGCAGGTTAGCGATGCCATCAGTTTCGTTAAAAATTTTGCACCTCTGTCCGATAAAAAATGTAAATCGCAGCCTGCCAGTGATACGGTCTTTTTCCTGTTGAACAAACCGGCATACGTGATGGAAAATGCATATGTCGCACCGATTCGATATATGTATTGCCTAGCACAGGATACGCGTGTCCTGTACGGCCGATAAGGATTAATCGCTACCGTAGTATCGATTGGTTATTGTTAGAGCGCTATTCAAATAAAATTGGATCAGCCTTCGAAACCCCCGACACTCGAAAACACAAGAGTGTAAACGATGTTGGCGTTCACTCGAAAGTATTGCGATGCAACACGAATGTAATTGGCACACGTGTAGAATGGTCATTCACGTATGTTGACGCGCAGATATGAACGGATTTTCTATTTTCGGGCATTTTTCATACGTACAGGAGAAAGAGCGGCGGATGAGAAAGAAGCGGCAGCAAGAGGAATTGGCGCAACAGCAACAGCAACAGTTGCAGCTGCAGGAGCCCTTTTATGTTCGCGCGAATGCATCGACATTTACCAGCACAGTGGAAATTAAGGCCAGCCCGAAGGACGAAGTTTCAAGTCTCGGCTCGGGCGACAGGCCAAATGTTACTATACTCGCACCAATCAGTATTTGCCTCGGTGCGATGCTGTGCTACATCATTGCCGGAGCATTCACCCTGCACAAGTTGGACGGTTGGTCATTCATAGGTAAGTCCCGTCCATGTCGAAAAAAATACCAGTTATAAACCTCAGTGTTCAGTGTTGCGTCACTTCTCGACGTGGATTCCGGTAGTTTCCGATATATAAACATGTCTCGATGAGCTTCAGAGTGTTTCAAAAAAATTAACGCGATCGTGTTTTCTCTGCGCTCGTATCAGTATTGGCATAAATTCCGCGATGTAATATACGCAGTGCAATATATGTAAACACATGTTATGTAGATATAAAACTTGTACTCTTTGAAAGCTAACGGCCAGCGCTTCTTCTACATTTAGATGCGAGCTATTTCTGCTTCATGAGTCTGAGCACTATTGGCTTCGGCGACATGGTGCCCGGGTCTTATCCTCGCCACTCCCTCGCCAACTCGAGAAACGTGACGATCTGGTTTTGCTCCTGCTACATAATGTCAGGAATGGCCCTGACGGCGATGTGCTTCAACATCCTTCACGACGAAATCGTCCATCGGCTGAGTCACCAAACGGACAAGCCGGAACCGGTGAAGCCGAGCTCGTCCGTAGACGAGCTATCGACGGACCCGTTTGCGCTGACCTCGTGACAATTTCCGTCGGGCAATCTGTGCCACAGGAACGGCACCGATGAGAACAATATATGTGGCACGGAACCACCCACCAATATATTCGCGCACGAGAACGAGATCAACATCCTGAAGGACACTTTTAATCAGGTGGACGTTACCAGAGACTGCAAGCCGATCCTGAAACTCGAAGATCACGTTCCACCAATCTCTGCTGTCTATATGTTGCCCAAGGTCGACGAGGAGACCGAGGAAAATACGGAAATGTGAAACTTGGACGCGGATTTCCGGAGATTGACAGTCCGACGGCCAGGTTCAATCAACTGGAGATTACCCAGCAGCGTTTTTACGAATCGTAACCCAAATGGATAGGTATATATAATACGTTGTATATGCTAAAGTGTGTTGTCAGATGTTGCACAAGTGTGTTGCGACGATGAAGACATTTTTTTTGAATCTATCATTAATTTTGAATTTATGATTAAGACTCCGTAGTTAACGACTTTAATAAAGTCGAGAAAGTAACGATGCCCAAAGTTTTGTTTTTGAATTTTCATTGGACATATAAGAAATATAGTAGCATGAAATTTATTAGATATTTAAAAAATTTTTTTATTATCTAATTTTATTGATATTATATAAATTTAAAATTATTTTGTTCATGATAACGATAAAGGACTGTATGTATATTATCGCAATATTTTTTACATTTATAGTATTCTGCATATTTTATGTGTTTAGATTAATGATTCAACGATTAATGATAGAGTCATTAATATGCTTTCATTAGTGATAATATTAATAAATATAAATGAATATATACAGAGCTATCCGGGACACTTCGAAAAATTAAAAAATGATAAGTGCTTAAATCGTTGATGCAAGCAGGACATCCTCCTTAAAATCAATATCATCTCATTTTCGTTCATGTATGATAAGGATAATCTAAAACTCTATATGATTATATTGCCGGAATATCATATTTTAATTGAAATTGAATCTCTCTCTTTCTTCTCCTCCTTTTCTTTTCATCTCTCTCCTCTCTTCTCCCTCTTTTTCTCTCTTTTCTCATCTTTCTTCACACATCACATATATATATATACTCACACAAACACATACACACATACTTAATTGGGTGATAAATAAAGTCAATTATAAAAAATGTAATGATTACCATTGGTAAATATTTATCTCATTACTATATACATAACATTATATTACTCTTACTAAAAATTAATATAAAAATGAAAATTATGTATGTTCTTCCTTTTAAATATTATCTCGAAATTTTTATCAGGATCATAATTAAAACAAAAGTCGTGATAGTACATAATTTATAATATCTTTCTATTTGCATGTAAGTGACCTCAATGTAAAAGTAACATATTTATAATTATAAATATGTCGAAATTTTGATATACATATAGTATGTTAAATAACTTCTAAATAAGTGATTGCGAAGGAGATGTCTCTTGAATTTTCTTGAACTTTCATTACACACACACAACGTTGCTAAGTTAATCTGAAAGTGTCTTTAATAAATGTTTGTTGAATATGAAGTTACTGCCTTCTCAAAAACAGGATCTCACGTACCAAAAGGATAAATGCAAATGGCGTTGCCAAAGTTTACTTTATGTTGATTAAAGATATAAATTATTATTAAAGGTACATAGCTTTTCAGAGTGCACAAACATTCCATTTAAAGTTACTGCTTGTAAGTACGTCGTGTAGCTTAAACTGATCCGGATTAATTGAAGAAATCACGAAGAGTATAAAATTCCAGAAACTGAAACTATGGGTAATTATCCATTACGACTCAGACGTCCGCGTCCCAACATTAACGACAGGAAATTACGTTTACGTCGTCGATAAAATGAGTAGAGCAAATGACCGGCATAAAATAATTTCCCAGGGGGCAATGGTGCATTTCATTCGCGGCCGGTATGCTGTTCGTGCGCGGAAATGTTGAAACTCCTCTTTTATTTCCCTATCTTCTTTATTCGCATCACGTACCGTTGCTGTTTCCTAAGAAAGCCGTGGAATCGACTGAAAAATTGATTATTTCTTCGATATAAATAACGCCTTAAAAAATGTAGTGTCTTAAAAACATACGTTAAGGTATTTCACATATAAAAACAGAATATTAAGATAAAATTTTTTGAAAATAATAAATAATAAATTCATTTTTTTTAAATTTGAATTTATAAATTCAAAAAGACGCGTATATACATGTGCATCTTTGAGAATAGCTTTCAAAAATTTGTCAAATTTTCCTTCTAGAAATGACAATGGCACTTGCAGAGATACTGTTACCGTTTTGTTTTACGATTCACTTTGACAAAAGTTTGACGCATGCTAAAACAACGGATGGCATTCGGTGCGAATTGACATATCTTAAAATAATAATATTCACACTTCTACAATGAATCAAGTATGAGAGAACGCTTTTCTTTTTCACTTTTCCTTCTCGTGAAATTAATTTCCGATAATGTTAGGTTTTGCACTTGACATCGATTCCTTACCGCGAGCATACCGCGGGCGAAATTGCTTGAACGAGATCAATCTAGATGTTCCCGCGGATTTGAGTGCGGTTCATGTACTTAATATTCAATGAGATTTCGAGGACGTCCTGACTTGCGGACGAAGATCGACTTAATGTTTCTACACGCCTACTTAGATAGGGACATGTAAGGATTTTTTATATTTCCGTACTTAAGCGTTCATGAAGTAAACGCATCTTTGTCTGTAATATAATTAAGCTATCGATCCTTGCGTCTAGCTCCGAAAGATGTGTGTGTGTGTGTATGTGTGTGTGTGTGTGTGTGTGTGTGTGTGTGTGTGTGTGTGTGTGTGTGTGTGTGTGTGTGTGTGTGTGTGTGTGTGTGTGTGTGTGTGTGTGACACACGCACGCGCGCACGCACACATGCGGTTACTCGTGTATCTGTTTATCCATCATCTATCTCTCACTTTTCACGTCTTCGCGATTCTACCGAAATGTAATTTCAATCACACTGCCGTATGAGGAAAGCTGCGAAGATAACAATCCGATTGTCGTTGAACAAAGATTACATTTCAAAAATAGTACGAGCAATATCATAAAATGGAGGAATCATTTTGCATACGTAAAAAATAATTCTACGAAATATTTTACTGTTATGTTAACTCGTCGAGTTACTGAAACTGCTCGTTTGTTCAGCGATAATCGAGTATCGAGTATTGTAATATTGTAATAATAATTAGGAACGTGTGTTGTTTGTTATACTGCCATCAGCTGGACGCTAGAATCAAATGAATGAATGAAATCAAATTCTGTGCTCAAGAACAATAACTAAGGTATTTACGGATAGACTCTAAGGATGTTGCGTTTAGAACGATTATCCCCGTTCTTTCATATTGATACTCAAATAGTCTACAAAAAAGTGCGTAAGAACAAAGCATAACTGTGAATTAGCTATAAATGATTATTTTCGCTGCGTATGGGGCAACCTGTGTGCGTAGCGATTAATATTACAAGCATGCTACAGCCTGTGTTGCCACGTTAAATATTCTTTACATATCTACGCGGCTAGATTCTATAATTTAAAATCTAATATAAAAAAATTAGAGAATAAAAGGAAAACATATGTTAAATTTAACTTGTATTTTTTTATACTAGATAAATTTTCTTTGCGAGTATGATGTGAAAACCGCGCTGAACTAACGCGAAACCTTGTCACGCGCGACACAGAGGAACGAAATGGTCCCGGTGCGATTTAAAAAGTGTCCCTCCTTCTGTTTCCTGTAACATATCATACGGTATAAGGGATTTTGTCGGCCGTCTTTTCACTCGCAAGAGCGATCGTACGTCACCTCGATATTAAAAGCGCCGAGTGAATCGCTGAGAAGGCTGCAAGTGCGGGCCGTGCTTCCGCCGTGCAAACTAGCAGGCAGAAGAGAATTTCGTACGGTGTCTAATGACAATCGATACTGGCTTGAGCAGTTGCTAGAGTTATCGTTATCACTCCGTCGGTGATTCGATGGAGGGTCGTGGCCGGCAGCCAAGACAAACTTTACTTTGGTGCTCGTACCAGGCCATCCAGCCATCGATCCAACCTACCCCCCGCCCGTACAAACTTCCTCACACTCGAGTTCGAGTCGAAGCGGGCGCTTGCTCCAAGCTGGCGCTACGGCGATTTGTTACGAGAATCTATTTACAACTTTCCATATACGTCCCCGTGTACGCGAGGAATCGTGCAATAACCGCCGGCGTGTCACGATTGCGAATGCCGGAGGAAATACTTAAAAGTTGGCAGCCGCATTTCTTAGTTAAAGATAGGGTACCTTAAAAAAGAAAGGAAAAAAAAAGAAGAAGAAGAAGATAGGAGAAAGATATCGCGCAATCGATATTTTACATAACGTTCTGATTAAAGTTTTATTAATCGATATTCTTGTATGGTACTTATAGGACTTACGGTTTTCCTTTTAGTCGTGCTATTTTAGATCGCTTTTAATTCTTTCACGAAGTTTCCCCTCGAGATAATAGACTCATTTACGAGGTGAACTTGCGAAGCGAATTAAAGTTTGACGTAACTTTTCACTACGGATATTGAATTCGTTAAATGTAAGTGAATTTGGCTGCATCAAGGAAACATATATATCGTATCGTATCATCAGTTTGCTACTCGGGATAAAGGAGAAAATTAACAAAATAAAGAACGAATTATATGCATCCTTCATTTTAAAACTTCTTAATTGATATTTGTTGATTAAATCGTTCCTTAGTGATTTTTTTTTAGTTGATTATATATATTCCATATTGTGTTGCGTTGTTTCGTAAAACTCCTGTTAGATCATCTTCAATAAGAAAGAGATTGAAAATGTGACTCTTATATTTCTATTCTCATATTTTCTTTTTATTCCAGCATTTGCTATTATTTCTCTTACTTGTATTTTCCTGTATAATAGATTATGAGACGTGAATATATCATTTTACAAGTATTGAGATGGAAGAAAGTATTCTTATTTTCCGTATTATTATAATTATCATTGCCACATATAGCAGATCGTGGCTAGCAATTTTTTACGTCCATATATAACGCCGTCTATAGGTCCAAAACGAAATCCCAGTGCAGCAAAAGTCCAGGCCGGCTTCTCTCCTTTCACAGGATTTTCTTTCCTATGTAGCTCCTCATCTTTCGCCCTTACGTTCCGGTTTCTTCTGTCGTACTCCAGGGAAATATAACCGAGTTCAAAGCTCTCGATGGTCGACACGAAACTTTAGCGCGACAATTTTGCACGAGAAATATCCAATGAAAGTCAAACGCCACGGGATTCAGCCTCATCGGTGCGTTTCAACCTTGGGAAAAAAAAAAGGAGAAAAAAAAGCAAAACCAGCCCGACCTTCCAACAGCCGACTTAATGGAATTAATGGCTTTCTGCTGTCGCCTTACATATTCATTCTGCGCGCGAATCAGCCTGTGAACCGTTGAGTTTTCGAAAACTTCAGAAAGTCGAATCTATGTCTCTTGATACTCAATTGCACTTCTACCGAGGGCAATTAGTGTTTTTGCTACTTCTGATTACTATCATTTT